AGATATTTAATAAATAATGTCATACCTGTTTCAGCTGATTGGCCTGGACAATTATTTATTAGAAAAGCCATAACCAAAATTAATTATTAGATAAAATTAATTTTCTTGATAATATAATAATAATTATTACATTTACAATATAAGAATCTTATAAAAAAAAGTCTATTCTCTGTCTACTTCTAAGGTATGTATGATACAATCTATTGCATTTGGTTCTTTCTTTGCCTGTTGAAGCCTTGCCTAATGACAAAAAATTTTGGCAGGTAGTTTGGCACTTGTGTATGATAGGGTTTTGAAAGATAGCTTTATTAAATCTGACATGCAGACTCAATGTTAGACTTAATGTTATTTGTTATTATTTTTTAAGAATTCAGGTTTTCTAAAGGTTTAATTTAAATTCAGGAATGTCCTAATATTGTTATTGCTTTGGTGATACAATTAATCCTATTAGTTCAATATTAACATAATAATAACAAGAAGGATGTAAGTTAATTGAAAATGTTCTTTATAGGTTATACATTTTATGAAGTAAATATCCATTTTTCCTCTTTAATTGATCTTAAAATTAACATTTGGGGAGAGTGTCCCCAAAGTTATTGCTTTTTCTTTAAACAAGTTATTGTAAGTTGAAAAGCTTGTCCAACCACCCAGCCCTCCCAAGTAAGTTAATAAGGTTCATTTAATGACCTGGATGAAAATTTTGCTGACTTTATGTCCTTGAGGGAAAATAGAGTCAAAGTGTGTATAATTTATAAATAAGCCATTTTCTTTCAACATTGTGATCCTGGGAGCATAAAGATTTATAAAAAATCACCAAAGTTTTAAATTCTATAATATTATTATTTCACCCACACCTTCCAAATAATGTATCAAAAATTTTATTAAACATTATTTTACACAGAAACAATTTAATACAATTTTAATCTTTATCATCATGAGTAGCTAGGAGGCGATAATCATTATTGTTAACAACAACTTCATCTTCCTCTTCTTTTTCAAGAAGTTGTTGACCACTTTCTAAATCTTTTTCATTCATGTCAATTTCTTCCACTTGTCTTTGATTTTTTTCAATTTGTTCTGATTCATAATCTTTTATCCAAATGTATAAACAACTTCCTAAAAGAATTATACCAATACTAATGACACGTCCAATAGTAAGAATATCACTGAATATTGTTGCTCCAAGAACAGTTTGTATTACACCACGAAAAGCTGATGATATCATATGTGACATTGGTGATGTTACTTTGATTTGTAAAAATCCTGCTATGTTGATTAAAAATCCAAAAAATCCCTAAATATATGTATATAGGTATAATTAAATACAAGTATTATTTATTTATTTAATTCCCTCAATGCCAATCTCTCTTTCTAACCTAACACACTCTAATAAATTACCGTTATTACAATTCCAATCAAGAAGGTATGAAGAGAATCAAAGGACATTTGATAAATTTGACGTTCTTCACCAGTCAACAAAATCAAAGGAATGAAACAAACAAAGCTTAACAAGTTATTATAATAAACCAAGTCCATTGTATTTTCCTTTGTAATAACCAGACTTTTCTTTATTACAATTGCATGCAATGCCGTTGTGATTGATGAGAATACACCATAGAAGACACCAAGAAGTGAAACTGCAAGTTGTTTTTCTGATAACACTCCAACAAAAAATCCAATACAAACAATAAAACATGATAAAAGTATCATGGATGACGATTTCTTCTTTAGGATAATGAATGTAAATAGAACTGTGAAAGGAAGAACTAAAGCACGTGCAATCTATGAATAAGAAATTAATTTAATTTGGAAGATAATTTTAAATTAAAAACATCTCTCAAAAAATATTATATTTACTTGATAAAAGCTTGCATCAACGTGTTGTAAACAGATGGTGTTAAAACTTAATCCCAATACATTGATCGCAATTAACGGTAATACTCTAACACATATATCCTTTTGAATTTTTGGTAATTGTACTATACCAAAAAGACTTGAAACATGCAAAAGTATTACTGCCGTAACAAGTTGTGAGAAAAGTAAGGTGAAGGGAAGTGCTACACTGTTTAAAACCCACTGATATACAATTATAATTATAGTGACGATGATGACGACGACGATGATGATGATGATGATGATGATGATGATTAATCAATATTTAACTGTTATTATCATTGTAATATTATTCACCTTACCTTATTTACAAAAACCATAACAAGTGCGGTTGTGAGATAAAATGACACCGAGAAAATGACCATGAAATGACTGGCTTGTTTGGGTCTTTTGTCCATTTTTGATTTTTTATATTATGATTTTTTTTTATAATTTGTCTGTGAAAATAATTTCTGACCTATAACTTATAATATATAATTTATAATAATAAGGATATAAATATTACTGTAGAAAGAAGAGAAAGAAACAACGGATAAAAACTTATAAAGGTTTAAGAGGAAAAATCAATTAATCAACTTTTTTTTTTTACAATTCTTCTTATAGTTGTAAGCTCTACTTACTCGAATTGACAATCCAATCAATTTTAAGCCTAAACAATTTTTAGAAGGAAGGGGGCTTGGTAACAATAATATGGAACAATTGTAGCAGTAGTACAACAAGATAATCTTATTATTATTATCATGTTCTATAAAGAAGAAACACTTTTTTGAAGAAAGCGGCTCGACAGATAATTATTAAATTCATACAAAAAAATTTATATTTATGAGGAAATACAAGTATTAAAAGTAATTAACCACCGTTTGATCTAAAATTAATATGGATTTTAAATGATAACGAGGAAAAGGAAAGATCTGAAAATTTTTTAACAGGTGACGAAGGAAAAAAATTAATAAGTCTGATTTCATGCCTGTAAAATATGCAATATAATAAAATTATTCATGAATGAATTGAATTTATTCTTATATATCTTCTTCAAGTTCATCAATTTTTTTTCTTTGCTTCACAAAAGTTGTTTCCTAAAAAACAAATTCATATCACTGCCTTTTCTTTGAAAAAAAAATGGTATAATGTGTCCTTCAGATTGGTTTGCCTATATAAAACGTGACAGTGACGAAGGTATTGGTGAGAAGGCTGCTGAAATAGCCGAAATAATGAGTCTTTATAGATGTTGTGATTTTCAAAAAGATCCGAGTGACTAATAACTCATTTTTCCTAAACTTTTAAAGTATGTTATTAGATTTGTAATCTTTATAGAACATCCAAAGCCATTCACAGAGGATAATAATAGCAATCACTTTTTATTTTATTTTCAAATTCTTTACGAACTTTAGTGTTTTATCGAATGTGTAATAAAGTTTATAATGAGATAAAAATATTTCGTATGTTTTTTGCCAGTGTATTGCTTCTCGTACACACATCAAAGAAAATTGGATTTTTTTTTTAATCATTAAAGATTAAAATCTTCATATATACGAGTTAAACAATTTTCATGTAAAATTCGAATGCACCATGTACAACACTCGCCTGCAAAAAGTATAAATTTTCGTGATATGAATATATATTCATGTGTTTTGTGTTTATAAAATTTTCGTATAATATTCATCGCCTAACAGAATATGGTTTTGAATGTACAAATTTTGCAATTATTTACAACGGTACGCTGACAATGTCCATACTTGATTAGAGAATTTGAGCCCTATACAACTTTACAAAGTAGTATAGTCAAAGCTCGTTATAGTGGATCTCGTTATAGTGGGATTTTGTCTATAGTGGACTTTTTTTATTTCCCCAATTCTCTTTATAATAAAATTTGTTCGTTATAAAATCTCTTTATTGTGTATAGTGGCTTTTAAAAAATTTGATTTATAATGTTAATATGGTTCCTAAATGGTAATGTGTTAACAAAAAAGTTTTTTTTTAACAATAAATTAATGTTTGTACATTATCCTCTTTTTTTTTACTGATGAAGAAATTATTAGAGCAGTGGAGCCAAATCCTGAAGAAGTGGAAATGATGGTTATTTCTGATAAAGAGGCATCAATAGTTTAGAAAAAGTGATTCGATATTTAAAAAATCCACCAGATAATTTTACAATTAGCTATCAAGAATTTAAATCAAAAATTCATAAAATATGTTCAGGATAATGCAAAACAACTTATGTTGGACAGTTTTATTTTATAATTATTTACTATGTATATATGTTACTAATAAAAAAACTGTCCTATTTATTTATAATGCTATAAAGAGATAGTGGAAATTCGTTAGAGTGGACAAAAATTCCTGGAACCAAGCGTCCACTATAACGAACTTTATTGTGTATTTGAATGCAATTAAGGATTGAAACAATGTTTCCAAATCATAAAAATATGTTTATTTAATAATAGACGCATGCTTCCTATTATGCTGCCATAACACAAGCATAAAGCCATCAAAGTACTCGCACTTCCCTCTGAAAGACATTTTCCATTTCCATTACATATCACCATTTTAGCAGTTTCAAAGTTGGGTTCATTAGGATAGTGTACATGCTGCGAGAATTTGACTTTTATGTTATTGAATACGATCCACTCGTCCTATTAAAAAATAATGGTAATTTTTCTATTTGAAATGTACTTTTTTAATAACAATAGGTTTTCTTTAAAAATTAATCTTCTCAAATAAATCAATTGATAATAAACCGTCATCAAATTGTGGATGCCCAAAAAATACTTTCACGATTGAATAACTTCAATTCTTTTTTACATTTAAAAAATAGCAGCAGCATTGATAAACAATTTTAAAGAATACAAATATATGCATTGTTTACATATTATTATAATAATAATAACGTTCAACAAGAATTTATATTAATATTCTGAATTTAATTGACGAAGAATTTAATAATAATAATAATAAATAAACAAATTTACTGTGACCTAAACTAAAAGGACAAATCCAAAAGAACAACCTTCTGTTTGAATTCAAAAAGTTTTATTATAAAGATACTTCAATGAACTAATTATTTCTTCGCATTCCATAATGGATTCAATAGAAACTGGACAAAAAATCAACCGAAGGTAAATCTGGCATTTTAAATTTCCTCTTAATTACTAACGAGTTAGTGCACGATATATGTATAATTTGCATATGTTTTTTAATACATTCAACTATATGCTTATTCTACAACCATTTTGTATATGGGAACTTAAATACTCATATTAATTTATTATAATTTCAGAAATAAAAGACCAAGACAAATATAATATGACTTTGCGATAACATCATCTTTAAATTTTTTTCCGAATAAAAAAATGTGCCAATACTAATATTTTATGGGTCTAAGGTCACGTGTCATAATTTGGAGCTTTCCTGCCTCGAGTTTTCACTAGTTCTAATATAGGAATGGCATCAACTTGAAATTGCTGATCATATTAGCATGGGGGTTTCAATAGAAACAGGGGAGACAACTCTGAAAAACACGAATTAAAAATTTTAAAATTTAGTAATAAAATTTTTTTAAAAGATGGGTGTAAAAAAACCTGCCACAAGACCTGCCGTAAGAGAAGATTCAATTTATTAATTTATTAAAAAATATACATATATATATTATATATTTAGAAAGAATATAATTTTTTTAATATTATGGTTTTTTAATATATTGTTTGCAAACATTATATATGTTTGAACGGTAGTATGAATTCAAGCAAATGCTTCGAGATTCAACTCGGCATAAATCACAAATCGCTGAACCTCGAAAAATAAAGTCTAAAAGTATAAAAAAACCAAAATTTCTTGAAATAACTTCAAAACTTCAACATACTATCAACAATGATAATGATGGTAAAACATCTAGCAGGATTATTAGAACAAGCAAAAAAGACAAGGAGGCGGATGCTGATATTTCTACATCATCATCATCATCAATATCAACAAAGTCAGTACCAATAACGTTAACGGATGCAAATACAAATGGAAATATCAATGCTAAATACACGACAAATAATAATAATGGTAAATCAAAAACAGGTTTAGCATCAACGAAGCAAAAATTAAAGGCCGATGAATATGAAGAAGAGGAGTCACAGACTGGAAATGTTAATAAAAAACAAAGTCTTTTCACAAAACAACATAATTTAAGATCTAGGAAAAGAATACCAGAAGTTTTGGTAAAAATTTTTTTTGCAATCAAGAAATTGTTGATTAATTGATTAATATAATAATTGTTTATTAACAATGAACTAGAAACCAAAACTTCAACCATATGATGCTATAGAAGTTAAGAAATTATCTAAAGAATTCCCTGATAATTATTGGCAATTTCATGCTAATAGTGGTCATGGAATGATAAATTATATAAATGAACAAAATCCACTTGAATTACTTGATGTAAAAGCAACAGATTACGGTAACTATTGTTATTAATGGTATAAAGATAATGTTAATAATTACTAAAGATTGCTCATTATATAATTCAAAGGCCCTATTAGTGGTATGGTTCTTTCGCCTGATGGCACAATGCTCGCTTCATTTAGTAATTTTGGAGTTATTAAAATATGGGATACCACAGAATTAACAATGCTTCAAACAATGAGAGATACTGAAGTAAGAATTTGAGTTTGAGTTTGAGTTTGAGTGGAGGAGATCTTTTAGGAAAAAATATCCAATGGTTTTTTTTTTAAAAGAAGAAAAACTATCATCTGACAAAATTTTATTTAACGATATAATCAGGAAAAAAACATTGAAGAATATTATGTGGGAAAATTTGCACCTACTCATACACATTTGATTGCTGGTGGAAAATTAAAAGATCGATACAAATGGGAATATAAAGAGGAGGATAATCATATATTACCATGTCCATTAAAAGTTAATATTAATATATTTATATACTAAAAAAAGTAAATTGGCGATTTATTAAATTATTTATATTTATTAATATGTTAGATTTTCGATATTATAACGGGAAAATGTGTTGGTAAACTTGAAGGCCATATTGAAGAAATATTATCAATTAAAAGTGTTACATTTAAAGGAGAAAATTATTACATAAGTTCAAGCCAAGATGGAAATTTTATTAAATGGAAGATGGAAGATGATTGGATGTAAGTAGCCATCAATCAATTGATCGAACAATTATTAATTAAATTGATTGATTAAATAATTTATTTAGCACATTGAAAGAAAAAGAATGCATTGACGATGGCGATAACGATATGGCATTTACTGTTTCATTTCTTCCAAATACCGGCAACAAATATTTCTTGGCTACTACAGATGATACAGTTAAATTATACGATTTTGAAACAGGCCAGGTAAAAAATATTATTTTTATTATTTTTATTATTTAGTTTTATTATAAATCTCTTTCTCTTTTTTTTTTGATTTAGCTTTTACAAACTTTTGAAGAATTATATTCGCAATATTGTGATTGTGGGAAATTCATACATCCAGTAGAACCATTGGTGGAAATAGATCACGAGTTGAATGGCCAAGATGATGGTGATGATGGGAATGAGAATGAGGATGAAGAAGATCATAATAGAGTGAGAAGGGCGAATAAACAGAAATCATCATCAAAGCTTATTATTCCTCAACACGCTTATTTTATAACTAGAGGTGTTGAGATGTTAAAAAAATCTGAACATGAAAGAATAGGTATAGTGAAATAATATGTGTTTGTATAATATATATATGTATTAATAGAAATAATAATAAATATTATTATTGATTTATGAATTTTTGCATTAAAATTATTAGATAATGTATGTATTTTACACAAGTTGATATATCCAAATAGAATAGGAGGTAAATTTCGATTAGAAACAATTAGAATATTTCAACATAAAAAGTAAGTGAAAATTTAAATAAGGTAATCAACAGATATTGTTGAATCTTTAACGAGTCATCATTATTGATTTTTCAAAAAAATTTTTTGGACAAAGTTACATTTCTAATTCTTGGCTTGTAAGAATCACATCAAATGGACGATATCTTGCTGCTCCAACAATGAAAGGTGAAGTTTGTATATTCAATTTAAGAACTGGAAATATCGTTGCAATACTTAACGATCATGAAAGTATGGAAAGTATAGTTTTTTTTTATAAAGTTTTTCAACTTGGTTTTTTTTTAAAATAAATAATAAATTTATTATTTATTATAATATAATGTATATGAGAAAAGAGTATGAAGTTAGAGATGTCATATTTCATCCTTGGAAACCTTTATTATTTACATGCGGAGATGGTAAATTAGTATATAAATAAATAAATAACATTCTTATTATTGATTATTAGCACTATTATTATTAATAACATCAATCATTATTTTAATAATAGATGGATGTATAAAAATATACACTTATAAGAACAGAAATGATTTAATTAATTTCTTCAACATAAATAATTTTTTAAATATAAGTGAATCAAATAATTTGAACGTGGAAAATGATGACGATAATTATGACAATTCTCAAAAAATGGAAATTGATGACGATGATGATAAGACTGTCAGTGAGGATGATGAGGGTGATGATGATGACGGTGATGACGGTGACGATGACGATGACGATGATGATGATGAACTTGAACAATCAGAATTACAAAAAATAATGGATATTTTACCTAACATTATTAGAGATTATTATGATGATGTTTGAATAATAGAATAACAATTGCACATTTTTATATCTTTTTATTGTTCTAATCTTTATGCGGAAATGGAATTAAAAAAATTGTATTTGCGATAAAAAAATTGGTTTTTTTTTAGCCATTGCCCACATTCATATTAAAATTTTTTATTATAGAAAATAAAAGTTAAGCTATTTTCAACAATAACATGAACTACATTTTATATCTGCTACTTTTCACCACCACCGAATATATACATTATCTAATACCATTAACCATATAGATTGTATTTGATGTTCTTTTGCTTCTAAATAATTATGATGATCAACTTTGGAGTTAAGTTAACCAATGGTGGATTGTGTGAAACTATTTGGTCGCCTGTTTTTCATGTAAGTTGTAATGAAGTAGAAGCATTAACATCTTTATTCAAGGCCATATTTTAGAATTTTTGCAGTTGAGCGATGCCTTCCAAGCGTTCTATCGATCTTTTTCAAAGATATGCTGTTTCCTAAACATCATCTCGTATTGTACTTTGATCAAGACTCCAAGCCACAAGACGAAGAAAATGCGTGAGAGCGAGCGCTCTTGTATTTTTGCTACCAGTTATGTATTATAGGTTTCTAATTGCGGGTTATCTAGATTTGTAGTAGCAAGCTAATAATGATAATGACAATAACAACAATAAGAGGAGTTATTAAAATATATACCGGAACTGCAATGTTTCCCATCGTAACCGTCAAATTAAATCTGAACATTCATATAAGCATTCACCTATATTTCATAAAATATAATTATCTATTTTTTATTTACCTTGACGAGTATCGGATAAAGTGAATATATTATTAGCCCCAGATTGGGATAAAATCAATCTGATGTAGTTTAGATTTTCATAATAGTAATAGTAACACTCGAATTATTCGTTTTATTCATTTTATCCGTTCGTTTCGTTTTATTCCTTTTTATTCCTTTTATTCAAATAAACATTCAATGTATTTCGAATATCAAATTCATAATAAATAAAACAAGTCATTCAAATAAACCTTATTCGAATAGAACCCTGTTAAAAGAAATTCAGGAATCCAATTTGATTTGAACCAAATCAAATATCAAATTCTGTTTTTGATTTCGAATCTAATTGAATCCTGTTTTCCTGAATTCGAATCGAGAATTTACCACATTTAAATTATTGCGGTTTATAACAGATTCTCTCTATAATGTAAATTTTTCCTATGCCAAATGGTCCATTATATAGAAAGCGAATTGTATAATAATCTAACATAATGAATTTTAGTTGTAGCTCTATAAAAAAAAACAAGTAGAAAAGATACTGAATACATACGTTATAAACAGTACAAAAAATACGCACGCGAAAAAAAATACGAATTCCGTATTATTATTAATATAACAATGATGGTTTTTATAATGACAATTATTATTTTATCCAGACCTTCCATATAATTGGATTCGTTTGGATCGTTGTTGGTTCGATTCGAATCAAAAATATTTTTTGAATCGGTTCGAACCGGTTCATATGTAAGTTCTACCTTTAACGTTTTTATTATCTTCTGTCTTTATGTTTATACGGATCTTAATAAAATAAATCGATTGATCAGTTGATTACTATTCTTTTATTATTTAATTAATTATTTGCCTATTTCTTCTACAGGCAAAGGCTAACATGATCATAGAATGCCTCGAGATATGATGATGCAATGAAAAATTCAGGGGAGGTTCTTTTGACTTGGGGTTTATTGAAATTGTATAGTTGTCAAGAGACTGTTAAAGCCTCTCACTTGGCCTCTAACTTGTGCCTAGGACTTCACCTGTGGAGCCTTAGTGGAAACTCCACACTTTATGAAGGTTCCTTCACATCTTATATTAGAAATAGCTTATTAAATCTACCCTATGAAAAATAAAATACGAAATTAACATGTGTTAAATACGTTGTTAAAAATATATATGTGGAATTAACGTATTTTTTATACGGTTTTGAAAAATTACCCCTTTTTAAATTTAGTATGAAGTAGGAATCAGTACGGAATTTGTAACCTACTGAAATAGAAAAGGCAAGCTTTAATTCCGCGTATGAAGCACGGAACTAGTATGGAATTTGTAACATACTGGAAATAGTGTTCCATGCCGCAATCCAAAAAAAGAAACAAAATGGTCGTAAAGACGGTTGCAATCATTTTTATATGACGTAAAGATGGTAGCAACCATCATCAAAAGTTGCAGCCGGTAACCTTAACTGGAAAGGTATCATATGGTTGATTCGGTCTAAAGACCTCCTATTGCTGCGCCATATGCCAATAACAATTTAAAATTTTCAAAAAATAGGACTTCGCGTGATTTTAGTTTTAAAAGTTATTTGTTACTGCTAAATTTAGAAATGATCATAGCGAACAAATTCCTCGTGAGCATAGTAGCAAAGGCCCTCTTACCAAAATTAGAAAGGGAACTTTCTTTATTTCATACATAGTGCTATGTTTAGATACAGCTGGTCAAGTTATTAGTCAGAATTTTGTATTTATTCAATGAATAACATTTTTTTAAATTTTAAATTCACAGAAATCTTTTCTTAAAAACCAAATATTCGAATAATCTTAGTGGTTCGTGTAGGATATTCAAATGGTTTGAACGATTCGAATTATTCTATCCCAAAATTACTAATTCTAATCTGGTTCGAACCCAATCCGAATCCGAATATTCGATTCGACCGGTACGCTCTGGTTAAAGGTGTTCTTTTAAATAGGTCTTGAAATCTATAAAATATATCAGACTACCTAAGCCCCTCCTCTATTCATAGATAAAAATTACATCAATAATTATCTGTATATTTATAGTACATACTAATTATATATTTTATATTTATATTATATCTCCAAATTCTTGGATATGATTGTATGAAATATTTTGAGCCAAAAAGATTTAAAAGATCAAACCGGATTTTGTGGCACGCAATGAATATTACAGTTCACTCTCTCTATAACGAATCCTCTGTCCCTATATGTAATTCCTCTGCTTTTGGTCGTTATAGAGAGAGTTTATTAAGATGGTCGTTATATAGAGAGAAATTAATTATAAAAAATTGAAACGGGGACAAAAGGGAAGTTCGTTATAGAGAAATTTTACTTAGTGGTCGTTATAGAGAGAGTAGACTGTATATGTACGCATTTGTCATGATAATTTCAAAAACAAAAAAGTCTGGGATTCATTATAAGCAAGAATCAGAGAAAATAAAACGTCTGCTATCAAAACCAGAGTAATTATCCAACAATATCATCGTTAGAGGTAGCACAAAGCGAAATATGTACTTAACAACCAGCCTTTGTTACCAAATTGAAATAGCATATTGTCAAAGGTGATATAATTCAGGCAGTCCCTTCATAAAGATTGACTAGACCTACCACATTTCATCCATTTAATGTCTGTAGATATTTGAGGACAGTTAAATTGATATAAAACATACAAGATGATGGAATAAAAGAGTTTCAAATTGTTGGTGCTTCGCCTGAATTACTCGTCAAAGCGGAAAATGATATTATCTATACTCATCAAATTTCTGGGAACCAGAGAACTCGGGAAGATTTGTTTATTGATTTTCTTAATTATTATTTTATAAATATTTATAGTTATATATATAATTACCTTCTCAAAATAACAATTATTATTTAAAAAGAGACAATTAAAAGAAAGAACGGAACATGTAAGTAGACTTGGGAAGAAATGATGCTAATCGGGTATGTGAATCAGAGTCGGTCAAGTAGATTCATTGATGCGAATAGAGAGATATAGTCACATCATACATATAGTTAATCAAATATCTAATAAATTATACAAAACAAGATTTGATGCATTTAGATAGTCAATATTTCTAGCTGACACAATTTCTGGAATATCAAAAGTTCGATGTACAATCAAAGTAATTTATTGAATTTTTTCCAAAAAAAAAATATATTCATTTTATTGGATATTTAATGAAATTGATAAAAAAAATAAATACTTTCCCAAAAAAAAGTTTCTTATTGTTCTTATTAAATGTAATAATTAATTTACTAATATTAACTAATTATCATCGGCATTATCATTATCATCGCCATTAGTAAGTGACTCTACAATAAGATTAGCACTTGGCCAAATATCATTTTCATTTTTTATAGTTTTACATTTATCTACATGATATTCAGTTCTTGGATATGGCGAAATTAACAAGAAATCAAATTTATGGGTATAATCATCAGGTGGAAATTGTAAATTTGACGATGATGATGAATGATCTTCACGAAGAAAATATGTATCAACAAACACATACATCATCTATTATTAATAAATATATATATTAATAGTGGTCAATCAAGTAATGTCAAATTTTATATTCTCTCCAAAAAATAAGCAAACCTCAACAGTGTCATCTGGCTTAAATCGTCTAACAACTCTTTCACCATTAGCAAGTCTAAAACTTAATCTTGCTACATTTTTATCAGATTCGGGTGGCTCATCCGGCAAAGCTGATAATGCCCAACGTCTCCATTTCAATTTTTTTTCTTCAGTTAATTTTCGTTGTATTTTTTCCTTTTTTGCATTTTCTTCAGCTAATCGTTTAGCCTCAGCCAATTCATGAGCTTTACGTTCTTTTTCTTGATCAGCTAATAATGAAGCTTGATAAGCCATATCTTGTTGATCCCGTATTTGACGTGCAGCTTCACGTTCTGCTCGTTCATTACGCATTCTTCTCAGACTCATTTCATGACGATTTACTTGATTTGTTAATCGTGTTACAATATTCTCTGTTGTTGTAAATCCTATTATAATCAGAAGGAAACAAGAAAGAAATTAGTTTAGTTGTTGATTTTTAAAATCCTTTATTGTAAAGATTTAGTTAACAAATTAATTAATTAATTAATTGGGTAATGATTAAAACAACCTTCAATACGATCAACCACTGTCATTTTTTGGCTCGATCCTGAGCTACCATTTGGTGGCTGCAGTACAATGAATGCTATAAATGGATATGTTGTTGCCTGTAATGTAATACTCGCTAATATTCAAGATAATAATAACATTGTTATTGTTGTGAATATAGATATTGATATTGCTAATATAGAAATGTAAAATATATAAATGCGCACGCATACAATATATACATATATATGATATTTATAATTATATACATACCTTGAAATGCCTCAGGATCTTTCACATTACCAATCCATACCAAAATTTGATTTTCCCGTAAAAATGTCGCCAATAATTCAGATGTCAATGTCTCGCTTTATTATTATCATCATCATCATCACCATCATTAGCAATTTTTTTTTTTTAATTAATTAATTATAATGTATAAAAAATTATTTGAAATCTTTTTTACCGATTAAATTTATCAGTGTTGTCATGTTCATCAGTTTCAAGTATTACCATCAAGAAATGAACATCATTTTTCGCTTGATCAAACGCCTAATACGTAATATTATTAAATTATATCACCCATAAAATAAAGAGAAAAAATGTTTAAAAATAATTCCATTCACTTTTTACCTGCGAAAAACTTCCTTGAAAGAAATCAGGATGTACATCACCATAATTTGTTTCAAATTTACGTATAACTTGTGCAGTTAATTGTGAATCTCTTAAACGAGTTGCAGTTGGATCAGTGATAACAGGTCTTGGAATTATTAATTCTAATACGACTTGGAGAACACTCATGAAAAAATTATAACACGCCAACACTATTTCTATTAAAATCATTTTCTAACAGCAACAACAACAACTACAACTAGTAAATAAAACAAATATTTGTATATAAATATTAAGAAGATTCGGTCACCGTCACAATTTTGACCAAACTAATAATAATAATGAAATAATTTGTAGTTGTAGATGTAATGGTTGAAGAATGATTATTATAATAATTGTAATATGAATTAATTCTTTAATTAAAATAAAGGGAGTGAGTGAGTGAATCAATTAAAATTATTATAAACTTGTGTGATTCTATAATTATTTAATTGCCAGCCGATCCCGTGAATTTGCGTAGATAAAATTATTGAGATTTAACTTTATTCGCACATAAAAAGAAGCGATTTTTGCCCCATAAAAAATGCAGATCTTTCCTTGATTCATTCATGCATAGATGGCATTTGAACATGGTGGACACTGTCCAATGTCCAAGAGGTTTCAGTTGGACAATGTCCAACATTGTCCAATGCCACTATCACCGATTAATTTTTCCATATTTAAGCATTTAAGTTATATAAAAGAGGTCAGAAGTTCTCCATTGAAAATCATAATGAGGTCAAACCTGGCCAGTAAGAAACATTTCATTAATATTAACAAAATTGAGCCAATGTTCTTGATTTTGATTTATTTATTGACAATTTAATTGTAGAAGTTGACTCGGCAAATAGTTTTATTTTACTGCTAACATTTTTCGATTTGTTCAAGTTATCTTCACAGGTTACAATGAAAAGTTGAAATGTAATCAACATGTGGACTTCTTTTAATTACTATTAATAAAGAATAATTTTCAAAAGTGAGACATGAATGACTAAAGCTCTAAACAAAGAAAGATTCAGCGAGAAAGAATCTTGGAAAAATATAGATTTCTCAATCCGTAGCAAATGTAGTATCCAGATCGCATATCAAAATCATAAAATAGTTAATTTTAAGAGAATTCAGGCCTTTTAACTGTGTAATTTCATTTTAAATCAAGCTTCTAACTTTCTTCTGATAAGCTATTGATCAATTATGGAATTAGAAATCAATGACGATTACTAATTGACTAAAGAAGATTTACCAAAAGATCTAGATCAAATTTTAATCTTTTCTGATATGGTTCAATACAATTTCTACGTTGTAGACAATGCAAAAAAACATTCTATCGATGTCACTATTGATTCAAATATATATGTTTCCTATGAATTTGGAAATGGCAGCAGAATACAACGATTACAACAAATATAAGATCAATGAAGGCACTTGGGCTCTTGATACAACATAGATAGATACTTGAGAAGATAGCATGTAGGGATTCAGATCAATCAATTTAAGGATGGTAAATGTGATCGCGTGATAGTTCCTAGTTTAGTAAGAAAATCATTCGTTGAAGGTCGATTTGATCCATTTTTACGCGAGATCTAATGAAGCATTTGTAAGTTATTTTGCATGGGATTATATTATTTCATAAAGTTACTAATATTACCGTTTAATAGTTCTGTAAGGTTGGAGGCTCCAATTAATATAGACTCAAAAGCATGATCTTAAAAGAATATACCCCATTGATATATTTTTAATATACTATTTTAAATGTATCAAGATGTTCTGGAGTGGAATTGGTACGTATATGGTACAGTATTAAATCAATATATCAGCCTCTGATGTATTGTATTTATATTGTTAGTTAACTCTTTTCTTTAATCTAGTATAGAATTAAACGCCTGGCACCAAATCTCATAAGTTTGATGGTTTGATAGAAATTCCTGGGATAATAGATTCATTATTACGTCAATAGAGTTTTCCAAGGAAGGAACATCAACCACTAAAAAAAATAGATGATAATACAAAGCTTGCTAGGAATGCAATGAGATTCGTAAATAAACTGACAGAAAAGTTTCCTGCAACATAATAAGAGTATGCACACAGTGCAATGCGCAAGTAAGTGTCATAATAAAATTATTTAGTAAAAGGTTTTGATGGTTAATGTATTTTATTATTATAGATGGGTATATTCATATAAACTATATGATCAGACCATTTCCATGTGTATATTTATATGAAAAATTTGGAAAGATCAAAATTCCCATAACATTTAATGACATGGAACAATTTTCTGAAGATATAACAACTCTGATGAATTTCCAGGTAACAAAATTAATTACAATGTTTTATGAATACCATTTAGGGTACTGGTGTAATTTCTCTTTTATTATTACAGATAGATGTTCTTAAAACTATAAGGAATATAAATAAATATTCAAAAAGTATTACCAAAGTGTATAAATCACAGCTTGAAGATACTCCCATTACCAAATCACAAAGGGCAGAATTATTGATTAACAAAAAATAGATTGTATTAAAAATTTATTTTAATTACAAAAGTATTTCAAGAATTTAATAAAAGATTGGTATTCACACAACTGTGCAAATCTGTATTGTAATGTTAATATGTCATTGAAGTAAATCTCAAGTTTTTGATCAAATTTTACCCTGAAATTTTTACAGATGTTATGACCACTTTGTTGGGTTTTGTTGCAGTATGCCCCAATTAGACTTTATGATACTAAAAATGAGCAAAAACTAGACACTTTAAATGTTGAAGAATTAAAAAAAAAAGTAGAAAGAACTAACCAATGAGTAGAAAAACCAAAGTATGCTACTCTATCTTACTTGTGAGGTGATTGTAAAGATGGAATTAACTGAAATGAAACTGGTAAGTTTATAAGTATAACTTCAAAAGGAAGGAAAGCCTTAACAAAAGCTATTGAAACTTGTAAGTTTTTAGGAATTGACTATCTTTGAATAGATCAATTATGTATTAACCAAGGTAAAACACAATATTGCAGCATTGATACCACTGCTCATTATAGCTATGATTGAGCCCAAAATGTTCATGTACCACATTCAGATCAACAGGTAAGTAGAATTTATTATCTTAGTCCACGTAAAGTTCATTTATTTGGTATTCAAGATGAAGCAGTAAGGGAACAAATTAATTATGTTCTTGATGAAAATGAAATTATAGGTAAAGGTCCCAATGGTACACTGAGTATGATTTTTGATGGAATTAAGAAGTTGAACAAAGGTGAAAAGCATTTAAAGATTACTTGTGATAATGCTGGAGGCCAAAATAAAAATAATGTAACAATTTGGTTTTATTTATATTTGGTAATTTGTGGTTACTATGAAAGTGTTGATTTGAATTTCATGATTGCTGGACACACTAAATTCAAATGTGATGGTAGTTTTGGATTGATTAAAAAGCTTTATAGAAAAACAAGTGTAGATTGTCTTGATCATGTGGTTGATGTGGTGAAAAGATCTAGTCCAGCAGGATTGAATAAAACTCAATGTTATGAAGGTGGAAAAGGTTTTCAATACTTGGATATCAAGTCTATTTTGGGAATTTATTTTAAGAAGCTAAATGGCTTGCAAAGATATCAACATTTTCTTTTTGAAGCATCTAATATTGGTAACACTATTTAGAATGATAAAATATTTTGCTATATAATGTTCTTCACTTACCTGTTTTTTTTTGGTGGTTGAGTTGTTAGTTGTTATAACAAAATAATGAAAATAAAAAAATGTAACGTTTGAAAAATACTTTTCATTTGATTTTCGAATTTTTCGAATTAGGACCTTTGTTATTGGTTTCAAATTCAATAGAAAAGAAATTCACTTAATGTTAAACCCACCATATGTCACATTAATTACCAATGAATTAGAATTGAATATGTATCAGTAAAGGGGTAAAACCATAATTTAGTTAATATTTCGTAATAGTAAAGGGTATTCGTAATTATTTACGAATGTTTAAAATTTAAATTGGTTGTCAATATTTTTTTACTTATACAATTAAAAATAAATAAACATGAATATCATGATAATAATTTATTGCATGTATTCGAAGATAATTACGAATAATCGAATGTATTCAACCAAAATAATTACAAATATTCGAATAATTACGAGTATCCATGACAACAACAACAACAACAATAATGAATTACAGGTGTTCGTGATTTTGAGTTACGAAGATTTGAATGGAGTGGCAGGAATTACAGTTAGGAACCTTAAATTTAGTAACTTAATATCTTGACTTAACAACATATTATTGATAGTTTAGTCAAGTATCTTATAGGATGCTTACTCAACCTAGCGAATATAATAATTATTATTTAGATTTTTTAAAAAATGTTCTTTAAAAAAACCAGAGAATTAAGGGCGATTTGTTCAATATGGTAAGATACGTTGTCAGACATCTCCAAATGTATGTGAAATCAAATTATATCATTATTTCCTTTAATATATAAATTATTATGCGTTCACTTTAAAAACACACAGGAAACTCAAAAAGTAATTTCTGGTAGAACATTAACATGTGCAATTAAATGTTTAGAAAATGTAAAAGAACACAAACAAGCTGTTACTTTTTAGAGGATTTAACGGCGGTGTTGGTCGATGTGCTCAAGTTAAGGCCTTTGGTGCTACTCAAGATTTAGTTATTTTTTTTTGGTTTTCCTCATCTTCCAATATATTTATTTATATTATTTATAGGACGTTGGCCGGAAAAAAAGTGCAGATTTTTTACTTGGACTTTTGAAAAATGCACAAAACAATGCAGAATTTAGTACACGATTTAATCAATCAATAACTTAACCGATATATTTATTGTTATTTTATTATTCTTATTTAGGTTAAAACAATTAGATATTGGTGGTTTGGTTATTACTAAACCAAATTCCTAAACAAAAACGGAGAACTTATAGAGCCCACGATGTAAGCAATCATTATATATATATTACCGGTACTAATCTTCTTATTATTATTTAGTGTACAAATCTTTATATAAGCAATCCGCGCCATATCGAAATTATTGTTACAGAAGAAAGCTCCCAAGTAAAACGTGAAGGTGACGATGGCAAATTAATTCAAATATTAAATACTAGACAAATTGTTAAACGAATTGCTGGAAGTAGGGATGTTAATCGATTTTTCTGCAATCGATTAAAAAAATTCGTGTTAAATAAATT